CTGCTACCTACGGCATACTCTTCTCGCATCCCGTTCTGGGTCTTTCCCATCCTCAGACCTCCGATGGCTCCCACTGTCTTCAGGTAGATGTGAAACACTAAATTCAATCCTGATTCAAACAAATCAACTGTAAAGCGACATGTTGTGATAATCAGAGACATCTGAATATGGACTGGGTGTCAGAGGATGTTAAGGAGGTATTGCTAATTTCGGTAGGTGTGATCATGGCATGGCGACTGCATTTTTTAAGAAGCCCTTGTTTATTGGTGAAGTTCACGTAAGTATTTATGAGTGAACTAGCATGATGAGTGGGTTTTTTACAATACACCGCCCAAAATTAAAAGCAAAAGTAGCTGGGGGTATTCATGAAGGAAGATGGACGAATGATAATGATGACTGAGGCTGGCCCGTGCTGTGCTCAGGGTCAATCACATCAGCTCCAGAAAGCTGACGGCAAAAGACTTTGCAACCTGGAAAAAGGCTGTTTAACCACCGGCAGCTTAAAATTGGTCAAGGTGGAGATACTTGCACTACAGAAATGGGCAGATGATATAAATCAGAGCTTTTTAGCATCATGCCATTAAGGATGGATAATAAATCATAGACATTGGAGAATATATGGAGGGCTATTATTCTGTTAGGCCTACTTTTGTATAAGTTTAGAAACTTCAGTAATAGTTAATAAAAAAATAAATAAAAATAAAAAGTTAGGCTCTTTTTCCACAGTTTTACAACCTTCTGCAATCTGGCCCCAACTTAATTTGCATCTAAAATCCCACCATCATACCTCTGAACCAGAATACATCCAAGCATCTCTACCCTTATTTTGACCTTCATCCAGGCTGCCCCTGCCCTAGAAAAAGTTCATTACTTCCCTTCCTTCTCCCGCGTCTTGGCCCAGGTACAATGACACCTTCACCTGGAAGCCTTCCCTGCTTGCTCTATTTGGATACACTTTCCCCTTCAATAATTCAATGTGCGCATCTCTAACAGAAGAAGAAATTAAACTCACTGCAAGGTTGTCTTCACACACATCGTCTTAGCTGATCCTCACCATGATCTGTGAGATACGCTGCACAACTCTTTTGCTCAATCAGAAAAATGAGAGTTAAAGACATTAAGTAATGTCCCCAGGGTCATAGAGCTAACACCAGTGGCAGAACATTCCAGAACCGTCAAATTCCTGGGAAGAGTGTGCACAGCAGGAAGCCCCGCATAACGGTCTCCCTGGAAGTCTCTGGGGAAATGGTGACTCGGTGCCTGAAAGCCCTGTTTTCTCACACTGCAAACTTCTCCTGTGTCCTGCTCTGTGCTCTCCACCCTTCACTGCAACGTACCCTTGGCGATCACAGCAATGGACATCTTAGAAACTCCTTCTGAACAGCTACTCTTTATAGGATACCTGTTACACTTGTCCCCTGAGATTCTATCATGAGGCACATTTGAAATGCAACATAACTTTTCCTAAAAGAAGCCTCCTCGTCTCCCCCGAGACAATGGAGAGCTTAGAAAGCAGGAGAGGACCAAGTCCTGCAGCCCGTGGCGGAGGGCTGCTTGCAAGGCAGCTTTCCCAGCATGTGCTGGGCGTGAGAAACTTGCATCTGAGTTTGGACCCCACATGGTTATTTCTTCACCACATCCCCACCAGGCCCTCGCAAGCATGTGTACAGATGCCCGTGAGCACACCCACGTGGACATGCTACTGCAAAGTCTAAGCGACCATCACATCCCTATAGGAACTAAGAAACAAAGGACGAATAAATGCCAAGAAGCTCGGGATGCTATTTGTGTCCTCGACACAGGCCCTGGGTCTAGCCTTGGATGGCTCCTGCAGGGCCCCGCCTGAAAAGGGAACGGAATGTGTGGCCGGAGGGGAGTGGTACATGAAGGACGTACTAGCAACCGGACAAAAATAGCCAGCTGCCAGCCGGCTGTCCAGTGGGAAGCATGCAAGCGAACAAGAAAGAAGGTAAAAAAGCATATGAAATAGGGTGTCAATTTTTTAGCCATCCATCCATGTGTATGTTTATGTATTTCAAAGACTGCAAAACCATACCCCAAAATGTCATCTCTATTTCTGGGGTGCATCAACAAGAGATTTTTTTCTTTCCTTCTTGCTTTTTTTGTATTTTCCAAATATCTGTAAACATTTGTTTAATCAACATCCATCACCACAGTTACACATTATTTTCCTTGTGATGAGAACTGTTAAGATCTAATTTCACAGCCACTGTCACGTGTCCAATACAGTATTATTAACTATAGAATAACAATAAAGTTTTATTAATTATAGTTACCATGATGTACATGACCAAGACGTGTTTATTTTATAACTGGAAGTTTCTACTTTTGACCACCTTCACCCATTCCGAATTTCTACGGTGAATATGGATAGCTTTTATAATGAGGGGGAAGAGAGAATAGAAAGAAACTTGGAGAGGAATGCATGTGATTGTTAGGCTTCTGCGAAATAAAATGAGATGCGGCTTTGACTCCTTTTGGAGGGTGGTGAGGATGGTCCGGCCAACAGAACAGCCATTTCCAGTCATCCAGAGACCAGAAAGGAGGGATTCAAATGTGTCTATTCCTTCAAAAGGCAAGAACAGGATGCTGGAAAATGAAAGATGTGTTTGGGGGAAACCAAAGGGAAGGGAAGAGTCTGGGTGGTTTGGGTGTGAATTTCAGAAGCTTTTCCATTTGTGCCTTTAAAACTGGCTGAAATAGTAGCCACTGTGAGCCCCAGGCTGGCCTCTAGGAGACGGTACCGCCCTCTGTGGTCCACAGCCAACTAGGACCTTAGAATCTTCGCATCGGCCCTCAGACTCTACCTGCAGATAGTGTGTTTATTCCCACGAACGAGCATGGCATCTTTGCAGACCTATAATCAGGGGGAGAAAGGCAAACAGCTTCGCCCTTGCCCTCCTCCTTTCTATCTGGGGGCCGAGAGGAGGACAGAGACAAAGACACGGACCCGTCTCGCCCACCTGAGTTGCTCTTGTCCACATTTTCAAAGCTGAGAGTCATCCAAGATTAGTGAGGGAATCATGACAATTTTCCCTAAGAGGTTGCAGCCACATCAGGCATCAAGGGGGAAAAAAAGCCTTTTACAGGCAAGTGATAAGCGTGGACTGTGTGAAAGCTGACAAGCCTGATTACAGTTACCCCAGAGAGGGGTCCTGAGTGAATTCTCCTGAAAGTCACTGACAGTTCTGGGAAGGGAACAGAGCCATGAATTACTGTGAACATCAGGAAGCATGGGACTCGGTTTCATAGGAAACCCAAGGAGAGAAGGGAAAATAACAGCAGAAGCCCACGGTTTGGTGCAGCGGGGCGGGGGGGGGCGGGGGCAGCCCGAAACACATGGGCAGCATGGTTTCTGCTGGAGAGGCACCCAGAGTGTGGTACTGACTTGAGACACATCCGGGCCTTTCTGAAGCAGGAATAACACTGGAGAATTAACTCTGATCGGGGCCTTCCACATTGGCCACAGCCTTCCCAGGGCTTCCTGGCCTCGGGAACATGCACCCTGAGGAGTATGGATGTATGCTTCTGGCCTCGGGGGATGACACACAAATGGCACAACGTGGAAAGGTCAGGTGGGACCAGAGCAGTGAGCCGTCCTACCACGGCCGTGGGGGGTGTCACGGGAGCAGGGACGCTGCCTTTCTAGGATCACAGCCTCGCGTGTCACGGATGCACCCAAACGCATCTGACTTCTGCTTCTCTTAATAATTCAGTTTAAATCTAATCGCGATGCGGCCTGACACATGTGGAGAGAATATGATCATCTCAGAAAGCAACAATGCCACCCCCGGCCGCACACGCCACCCTCTCATAAACTCAGGCTTTTGAAGCCTCAAAACAACACCGAACAAAGATGTTTCCCCTTTATTTTTATAAATTCTCAGACAAAAATAAATCTTTAGCTGGGATGCTACTGTGTGTGAGGTAGGTGGGCGGGATGTGGATCGATGTTGATTTTCGTTTGTTTTTGTTTGACATCCCCTGGGCTCCCCTGGAAGTTGATGTGAGTATGGGAATAAGTACTTTCATTAATTAGCACTTTTCCATAGTTGTCAAACAGGCTGACTGATGACCTGTTCTAAAGCCCCACCGCATCTCCGCCAGAAGGATCAGCCCTGTGATCGAAGTGCCCCAAACGGTGCAAGGTGCAAGGATTTACATCTCTGCCTCGCCGGCGGGCTGCGTGCTCTGTCCCTCTCCTTGGGGCCGCTCACTCCCCACGCTCTGACCTTGTCTCTGCAGAGCTGTCACTCTAGGGCTTATTTCTTCACGTGCTCCGTCTGTGCTGGGTCCCCGAGGAACACAAGGACTTCTGTGCGTCCGGGGTGCATGTGTGTGGCGCTTATCTGCTTGTGTGTGGACAGTAGGTCCTCTCTAGAGACAGGGAGGGCGACTGTCCATCTTCCGTGCTGTCAAGGAGGCCCCCAGAGAGCCCGGCTGTGCCCTCTTGTGGTTTGCTCATGGTGACCTTCACACAGCTTTCTGGCCAGAGAGAACAGTGGCCCATTTCCTAGCCAAGATCAGCAACACTAACCCAGGTGAGCAGGGGTCTGAGATGAACTGGGCTGCCAGACCAGTGACTGCAAGGCACGTGCACACAAAGTTTACACAAACGTGACCATCCTGTTCCCAAAAAGAGAAATACAGGGAAATACCCCAGCACACCACACCCTCTACCTCCTTGGCTTAATCCTTCTCTAAAGCAAGCCCCCCCCCACACACACACACACACACTCCAAGCATCTTGGTCTGCTGTCTTTTCCCCACTATAAAACAGAAGCTGATCATGATGAGATGCGAGGGGAACGGGAGGGGGAGGGCAAGTTACTAGGTCATTGTCACGGTTGGCACCTTGAGTCAGAGAAGCTGGAAATCCAAGGTGGGGTTTCTGTCCAGGTGCCAACTTGGTTAGCTCACAACCAAACTCTGGTACATTTCACTCTCTCAAACTTCGTAACAGGATCAGTGGCGCTTACCTGTGGCTGAAATCCTTTGAGGTCGCTGGCTGCAAGGTCGCTGGCGGCGAGGAGCTGAAAAAGAACAAAGACATGTTCCTCAGTGATACTTCTCAAACTCTGCGTACAGTGTCCCCAGGGTGACTGCTCAGCAATGCCTCGCCACAGCCCAGACCTGGAGCCTGAGAAGCAGAATCCGAGGGTAAGAGCGTTCTGGGGCCCGCACCTCGGCTCGGAGGCCTCCTCGCCTTGTGGCCACCACGTTTTGACTACTGCCTGGCCCCTCTCTCCGGTCTCCTACCTTTCTTATAACTGCCCCCCGGTGCTGCACAGGGTCTTAAATTAGGGGTTATGGTCTAGACCCCCTAATTGTAAGTACAAGTACACACGAGTCTATAGGTGCATACACTTCCTTAGGAAGAGGGTCCCTGACTTCCTTTCTACTATCAAAGTAGTCTGTGATACCACAAGCTAAAGGGACAGTTAAAGGCCCATTTCAACTGGGAGGGCTCCTTCTCATTCTCCTTTACCTCCTCCTTCTCCTCTTTTTTGTTTTTTAACATGAGATTTCCTTCCTTTTTAAAAATGTTTTTATTGATTTTTTTTTTAGAGAGAGAGGAAGGGAGTGATAGGAACATTGAGGTGAACGAGAAACATCAAGCGGCTGCCTCCTGCACGCCCCCTGCTGGGGATCAGCCTGAAACTCGGGCATGTGCCCTGACCAGGAATCAAACCGAGACCTCTCAGTCCATTTGGCGACTCTGAATCCACTGAGCCACACCGGTTGGGCCTCCTCCTCCTTTGTTAATCAGAGCAGTAAAAATGACCCTTTTCTCTTACCAGCTACATGTGACTCAGTTTCTCTTTATCATGTCTTTGATCCTATGTACTATTTATGTATTCATAGCTTATGCCTCAAGTTATCATGCACAATATTAAAGCATAAGAGTCACGTTTATATGTTTTTCTGTATCTCTGTGTTTAATTAACAGTAAAGGGTAAAGGTAAGGTTGTAATTGTTTTGCATCCTCTCTGAAAGCACTCAACAGACTCATATGCTTAATTAAATAAAAACATGCTTTATTTTTGCTCAAAAATGCCGAAAAAGTATGGGGTAAAGAAAAGGGGCAGATATTTATTTTGATTCGAGGAATGTGACTGCTAGCTTTGTTAGGCCTGGAGAGCATTTGTAAAAAATAGGAACGATTTCATGTTTGCTGTAACAATATTTTGTTTGGTTCAAGAAAGAGAGGGAGTCATGCTGGGTTCCAGGGCCTCCAGCCTTCAGAGAAGCTCAACTGGGCTTTTTTCGCTCCTCTAAATAACTTGGCGAAAAATGATAGGGAAAGGGGAGCAGAGAGGAGGTGGAGAATGTAAGAGCTGTATCCTTCTCCCCACGCCCAGGCCTGAGGGCCGGCTCTCCCTGCGAAAGGTCCCGGGAGGAGGGAGCACCATCCCGACAGAGCCAGCTTGGCCCCTCTGTTGGTAATGAAACAGCCCAACAACCAGTCACGACGGTGCTTGACCGGACAGAATGAAGCTTTGTCCTTGCCTTTAAGGGATCTATCTATTGGCCAAAGGATAAGATGTGTATAGCAGTGTGAGCAGAGTCTAGTAGAGTGGTGTACATGGCAAACTGTGGACATAAGGCAAGAAAGGTCGGGGTGGGGTTGCCAGAATAAGCTGGAGTTTGAACTGAACCCTGAAAATGAAAAGGTGTAGATCCAGGCACTTCCGGTGGGGCGGTTGCAAGAGCAGAAACCTGAGAAAGGAATGCCCAGTCCCAGTCCAGCTCCCTTGGCTCTTGCACATCCTCATGGCCGGCCATACCCCGCACTGAGGAGGACGGGAGGGCACATGCATTGAAGGTCAGTCCCTGGGTCCCCAGCACAGTGACCGGCTCTACAATTTTTTCTTTCTTATACTCAGCTTCACCACGAGATAGAAAGTAGCTCCACTTTGTGGATGGGAAACTTGAGACTTATGGGAGTTAACATTTTCCAGGTCACACAGGTAGTAAGTACATGGATGGGAAATTCAAGTCCAGAATTTATTACCTCAAAGCTCAACCTCTTTCTTTTATAAATGATGCCTCTGATTTATAGCACAGTGGAGATAATTTGCTGATGAGACCTGGCACAGGGGAGAAACGCTATCTGTCAAATGAGCTACAGGCAGTAAATAACATAAAACATGTGTCCCCATGTATGACCCTTAACTGACCCTTCCTTCCAGACACTATTTTATTCAGTTGGTAATGACCATCCACTCTTCAGATCTTATCAGCACAACCGAGCCTCCAAACTGAGCTGAGCACAGGTTAGGACGGAGTTGGGGAGGAGAGAAAGGCTGGGGTGAGGTATGGGTACGCGATTGACCTTGTTAAGGACAAGTCCACAATATGTGTTAGCATATAGGAATCACATCTCCAATCCTCCAGGCCCTTGGAATCCAGAGGGCAGGGACCTTTGTAATGGGGCTCACCAGGTAGACCAGCAGGTATGAGACCAAAAGGTCTAGTTCCTCCTCGTTCTGACGCCGTAACTGCGAATCAACCACAGGGGTGTTCAAAGCCTCTCATCAGAGGCACTATGTCCTCATGTCAGTGGTTTTGGACGAGAAATAACCAGACCCATTTGTGTGACTGGAAGCAAAGCTATGGCATTTTTGGTTGTTATTCACAACGTCCCCAGCTCGAACGAGGTCAGGATCTGTCCTGCTCTCCCTGGAACCTCTAAACCCACTTTTCCTTCTCGTAAGAAGAATCCAGATGCATGCAATTCGGTTTCATTGTTTCAAGTTCTGTGCTGTCCTGTTGTGTGTATTTTTCATGTGCTTTTTCCCACCTCACAAGACCATGGTCACGGTCTCACGTAACTTCTGCATTTCTCAAAGCATGGAGGAGTCTGGACATACCATGAATCACTACATCTCTGCTGGTCACATGACTTCAAGGGAAAGTGGGGAACGCTGTCAGCCTGGAGATGAGGACGAGAATGACCCAACTGTGAGCCCGGAGAAGAGAGACGGCTGGTAACACCCTTTACGTCGACAAGAGAAAAAGGCACTCGACATCCAGAGCATTTCCTGCATGAAGTAGGCACTCAAATATCTGAATGAATTAGTCAGCGATGGGAACACACTCTTCTCCATCTGCTGCAGGTTTTATGAGTGAATATCAGCTCATGCTTCAGTGCAGGAGTCAAAGGTCGAATAGAAGAAAAGACAGTATGAAAGCGAAGGAGACTGAAGAGAGAGAGGAATCGTCTCTTCCTGTAAGTGAAACAGTAAAATGCTCAAGGGGCCCGTGCAGTTCCCATGTGTTTCGGCTTGTCTGATGGTGGGCTGGGGGAGGCAGGGGGTGGTATCAAGGATGGTTATCCAGTAACTTCTAAAACTTCTGAATTCTCTGCCTTGTAGATCCTGAATGATTTATTCACACTCTAGTATGCATTTCAGGTGTCATGTGACCTGACGGACAACCAAAGGCAAGCCTCGTGACCTCCTCGTTCAATGTTCCCTGCAGAGTGTGCAGGAGTCGGTCCCTCCTTGCCATCAGCCCAAATCCCCACCTCCTGGCTCCAGGGCTCTTGGGAAAACCCAGCCTCTGCCTCTGCAATGCTCTCCTTTCCAGCGGCTTATTTCCCTGACGTGCACACTCTGCACCCGGGGAGCAGAGGGCTGGCCTCCGCCCTGAAATGTGGAGCCCAGATGTGGACCGGAAACAGCACAGGAAGCTCTCGGGCATTTCAGAGATGCAGACCACCTAGAGCTGGTCCTCAAAGGAGACTTCCATGCTTCCAGAGCATCAGAACCTGAAGGAGACAGGCACAGGCCCCTGGGTGGATGAGGAAGTCCCAGTGTTCCCAGAGGGCTCGGCCACCTCTGCTGCGGAACTGGAACAAGGGAAGGTGGTGTAGACAGAGATCTCTACTGTGTCCCCTCTCCCTCCCTTTAACCAAAGCGGCTCTGTTTTACCCTCTTTCACGTACACAATGTCATCTGAAAACGAATGATCAGCCATTAAAACAAATGTTAAAACTGAAGACTAAGTCGTTATGTTAAAGACGTTGATAAGTGACTCCATGGTCACACTGCTGTCCACAACAGGCCTGGGTGGGCCCCCACCCCTAGCCCCACTGCAGAAACCTCCCCTCGGACCTTCTCGGGCCAGTCAACCCTACACCCCGACACAACCGCCTGCTGGCCTCTATGCTGGAGGTGGGAGAGAGGGCTCAGAAATTCAGGGGAAACTGAGGCACAGGCAAGCAGAGGTCAGCCTGTCCTTCCACAAAGCCACTGACCTCAAAAGCACAGATCCAGACCCTCTGCAAACTGTGTCCCTTGGGAGACCCTGTCTTCACCCTTCGCAGCGGAAAACAGCCGCAGCCGCGAGCAGACTGGCTGTGTGGGGAGGGACTCAAGGCAGGGGCCGCGGAGGGAGGATGGCTCTGCGGTGCTCTGGGGACTTCAATCAGGCTGAAGTTAATGAAAAGGACCCTGCGCTGCCCGGGACGGCTCAGTGTCTGCACTGCTCCAGGGAGAAGGGCAGAGAGAATTACATTTAAAAGGCAAAGGAAGGAGAACATTCTTTCATCTCCCCGGTGGAGCCAGGGGTGTTCCCTGGGCCGTTCTCATTCCCAACACGCCTCCCTGCTCCCCTGAACAGTCCCCCCTGCAAACAGGAGGGCGATGCCTCTGCTTTCCACTCCTGGGGAGCTGCAGTGTTCTCTCTTGGCAAAAGTTCTGTTTGCTTTTGTTTTTGTCTTGTCTCTCCAAGCCTGAGGGGTGGGCTGGGAGCAGGAAGGGTTGGAGGAGGAGGAAGCTGTGGGGCCCTGCGCAGGTGAGGGGAGAAGCACCCTCCACGTTCCAAGCAGACACCCCCAAATCACCTGGTGGCTTCCCTGGGCCCAGGACCGCCCCTCCAACTGCCTCCTTCACCTGCCGACTTCTACAGCTGCCCAATTCCCGCAAAGGAGGGGCGAAGTCTGCTCCTCCTCCCGGCGCCCCCTGCCCCGGGAGCATCATCTCCCCGATGCAGGTCTCTTACCAAAGGTACACACCACGTCTGGGTG